AATTTCCACACTTAAACACACGCTATAATTTACAACGAAGGATTCACGCACTTTACTTCTACCGCGCTTGACTCAACTGTCGGTCTATATCTTCAATCTCTCTGTCTGCTATCCAATCTCGATTTATTGTCTGGAGCACTTATATACAAGAATACCGCACATCTAGCAAACACTCGAGCATTCACGAACCTTCGAGAATATCATGACGTGTTACTAGTGTCACGTGACTTCCGCTGTCGTAACACTATCAATTCGTCAGTCTCAACCTCAATTTCCTTGTCAAGCCAGTGCAAGAGGTCCACCTGTTACATATGGACACATCTTGTCAATGTGCTCCATGTGATTTTGCATGCCTTGCATTCACTGTAATTCAAATGCATCTTATATACAAATGAAGCTTATCAACATACATCCACTTGCTTTGCACACCTTATATCCGCTATAATTGATATATCATTAAAACAGTCTATAAAAGTATGAGGTACAAACCTTTTTAGCCAGAGCTGAGCTGCTTCCATGCTGCTAGCAGATATCTCAACCAAACCCAAACATAACCTGCTATAATGATATGTAAAATGGAAGCAAAACTCTTTAGCTACCATTTTACATATCATTATTATTGCTTCTATATTTTTCATTAAGTTTTAAATTGTTAAATAAAATTAAAAGGTTCTACATCTTGTAATTAAGCCGTGGTTCTTTGTGTAAGAGCTGCGTCATCCGTACAGTGTGTAATTGTTCTTAGGAACAAAGAAAATTAAACACGTTTCTTGACCACTGTGCGAGATAAAAGGTTATTGGATTTAAGTTTAATTCTAATGTTGGCTTGAGATTAAGCCTGAAAACAGAGATGAGGGGGAAAGTGTGATATACAGGAATATCCTGTATTTTCAACATCTTTAGGAATGTGGAAAATTTTTCATTTAGTCTCTATGTAATTATGCCATAAAGACATGGTCCACAAAACCATTAAAGTTGTTTTGTTCTAGTTGTATTTGTGTTTTTGTTCTTTATAGCAGATAATATCTACTCTACCTGAGGAAATATTGCAGTAGTGTCTCACATCTTTGTTGAAATGGTCAATGATTTTATTATCTTTTGCTTGTCGAGTTGATTATTTTTGTATATTACAGCCAACAAATGCTGTGAGAAAAGGACCAGTCGCAAGGTGATGCTCTCACAAGAGAAAGAGTACAAGGTTTCTTGCAAAATCGTAATCTATAATCTGTCGGGGTTCTACTCAGTTTTCAACATGTTTGGTTGAATCATACACCAATCCAGAGGTGATTGTACACTCGTCCACACAAGTACGCACACTGTTTTATTTGTGTCTGTAATAAAGATTGTTTTTACTTTTCTTCAAACATGTTTAGTATGTTTATTTCTTTTGCAGATTAAAATTCGGTCGAGTTTTCTAATTCAGCTCACTCTAAAAACGTCATCTTTGATTCTTCTGCTATTAATCTGATACTTCTGCGGAAATCAATTTATTTGAAAATACCACAAATGCATAGACTTAGAATAAACGAAAAATTTGAAAAATCAATAATAAAATAAGAAGGTAGAAAATGCACATGTTTGCTTACCACATAAATAAAGAGTAAAAACGACCATAAAAAATATTAAACTTATTCATCGTTTTATTTCACAATTTCTTATGAAGTGCCTTATATAAATTGTGAAACTGTCAAAATTACATTTGTTTTCAAGTATCCTTTTATTGGATGTCGTTTTTGTTATAACAAAAAAACTGCTAATTTCATGTATTTGTTTCGCATAGTTTTCTTTTCTTGTTGTCCCAAGTGTTGTTACTATATCGTCTTATTTGTTATTTTGTGCTATTCGAATATTATTTGAGCTCACATTTTTTCATTAGAAAATAACAACAACAACAAAAACACACTTTTTTTGTTCTAATACTTTAGACTCCTAGCGTTATATGATTTTTGTGTTTAGTTGCAAGTTCAAGGTTGTAGGATATACGTTTAGGTTTAGACAACATTTTGTTAGAAACGTGAAAGACAAAATGAGTTGTGAAAGTGATAGAGAAGTATGTATTTATTTGTTTGTGCGATAAAATATATATTTTAACTGAATAAACGTAACAGTAATACTTGGTCTTGTTAATACTATCAGCACTCCTTTTCAGTTTCAGTGAAAAACCATTGGGAAACAAGGCCTAATGCCATGTAAAAATTGTAATTATATTTAATTTTTAAAGTTGGCTTACTGGAACTAGTTGTACTACTATATCTTATGATGATGTTACTTTAGTTTATATTATAATTTATTACAGAGTTAGGCCTAACTGTTGTACAATTTGTAGTACAAAACACTCATCCTATTCAGCGTTCCTTGCACATGAGGAATCTGCGTCGTACATTAACATAATTGCCTCAATGTTCAGCTTACTTTGTATTTGGTTTCTTTATAATAATATTAACATAACATATTATTTAACTTAAAGACAGCAAGGAACCTGTTACTAGTGTTGTTCTATCAAACTGTCTTATCCACTAGATTGACCAGAATAAAGTTTAAAAAACAAAAACCCTTAAATTCAGCTTTAGTCATTTAAATATATATCAAACCTACTCATGAATTGACTGCATCTACCACATCTTAAGGCAACCCATTCAAAAGGTCAATTATTCTGATAGAAAAATAAGACTGGCTTAGCTGAAGATGACTCCTACCTTACAAAAAATTACATTGTGTCACCTTGTCCTATCATTCTCACCATTAAGGATGAAAACAAAAGGTGATAATTAATTCTTCATAAGAGAAAACAATTTCAGAGATCATAACCTGTCCTCAGAGAACAAGTTTTCCATCGTAGTAGCCCTACTTTGAACTTTTCCAACGGTTTAAGGTCCTCCTTAAGATAGGGAGCCCAAGATTGAACACAGTACTCCAAATGAGTTCTACCCAGTGATTTGTACAAGGAAATTATAACTTCTTTGGACTTGTATTCAGTATTTCTGTAAATATATAACCCTATTTGCCCTACTATTAGAAACAGCACACTGCTTGGATGGCTTATGACTGATCAACCAAAACACCAATAAAATTTTCTTCCGTAAAACTGTTGAGGTTATTCTCATCAAAATTATGATGACTCACACGCATTACCTTTCATCTATTATAATTAAAAGCCACCTGCCATTTATTCATCTAACTCATTAAATAATCAACATCCTTTTGTAAAGCAACAGCATCCTCATCACAGTTAACACCCAAGAGCTTAATATAATCAGCAAGTTTGAAGCAGTTTATTGACCATTCTTTCATCTATATTAATGTAAATCAAGAAGAGTAATGATCCTAATATTGAACCATGAGGTGCCCATTGTGTTATTAATCCCAATTGTCTGAACTCTGTTTATAGCAACCTTCAACTTTCTTCCATCCAGCCATTTTATGAATCAATGAGCTAGCTTTTTCCATTTCATCTATAGAATTTGTTTTTTAAAAGTCTTCTATGTCCCACCTTGTCAAATGCTTTCTGAAAATCCTGGTACATCAAAGCCACACTCTTATCATCATCATCATCAATCTCTTGACAGAATATCAGTGGATTAGTAAGGAAAGAATTACCCCTAGTGAAACCATGTTGACTATCCAACAAAATATTAAACTTTGTTAATGACTTTTCAAAGCTTTAATCAGGCTTCTAAACATTTTTTTCCACCACTGTTATAAGATTATTATGTCTATAACTACCTGGACACCCACTCAGAGAAAAATAAAATAAATAGATTAGATTTATTCTCAATTTTTAGGAAATTATTGATTCCTTTTTAAAATTCTTGCAATGTGCTGGCTTCCATTATTACTGTTGGTAAAAATATTTTATAAGTTAATCAGCTTGAGAGAATATAGTCTTAACTGGAATCTTACCCAATTTTTTCAAATCTAAAACTTACATCCTCTCATCCGATTGTCTTTATATTTCAGTAAGAGGAAATCAGAGACCTTTGCCATATCAACACAAATGGTGTTATTAGGAGTGCTTTAATGCCAGATGAACCTTGTCCATTATGTTGGTGTTAAGTAATAAATAAGTAGAAATAAATCATAATTTTTATTTCTGTTCTTTGTTGTCCAGAATTCAGTCCTACCAGCCATATAATCCCTATATATTTTGAAGTTCTTCCTATATCTTGATATTTTGCTCTGAAAAAACATAAGTTACCATATGATTAACAATTTTCTCCCATATTCATATCAAATATATTTTGATGACATATTATAATAAAAGTCATCTACATACTCATGACAGTGCTGTTTATGATGCTAAATTTCATAGTTTCATCTTATGAGTAATTATTGCTCTTCAGTTCAAAATGTATATTTTTTCCTCAAGGCTTGTTGGCATTGTTAGAACATTAACCTACATACCAGAGCTATGGGCACAAAGTCAAAAATTGCTGTCAGGACATTAAAAATGCCTATGTTGGCTTGTTGCAGTATAGCATTTGAGGCACAAATAAAAGAAGAGTGCAGTTACTTTAGACTAAGATAAATTCCTAATGAAAGGGTAAAGGGTAGGGATTTTCCAAGTGACTTCCAAAATTGTTTCAAGTTGAAACTGTTAATATAAGCAGTTTCATAACTAAAATTTAATCAGACTTGAAAAATCCTTTTTACACACTCATACCCATTAAAGAAATATTGGGTAGGGGTGTGTAAAAAGGATTTTTTAAGTTTGATTAAATTTTAATTACTAAACTGCTTAAACTTGAAATAATTTTGGAAGTCACTTGGAAAATCTCCATTATATATATATGAACCCTGGTCAGAGAGTTGGCTACAATAACAATACTTCAAACTAAATCTATACAACTTCAAACAGTTATAAAAGTCTTACATAGTGGCATTAGTATTATACATGCCATTGTATAATTGAACTGTTTCTTACACTGTTTGTATGAGGTGATGAGTAACGAGTTTTAGCACATTATATTCATACATCTTTAATTTGTGTACTTGCAATGATAAATGTTTTTATTCTGTTACTACTTTCAACTGTGTTATGAGTAAGGATAGGTTATATCTTTTCAGATTTATTATGATGTCTGAAAATTAAACAAACTAGCCTTTCTTAAAGGATGAAGGTTTTTTTCTTCATTTGGGACTAATTCAGTAAATGGAAACCCTACTGGTATGTGGCTTCAAAAATGGAACAGGTGAGAGGTATTTTTAATACATTGCTACAACCAGTTCTCTGTTGAAAATGGGGCTCTTTCAGTTAAAACAGCATAGCTGAGGATCCACACATTTAGAAAAGGCTAAGGTTCATTTCTGCATGTTTCAGTCAATCTTGGACAGCAATGTAAATAATAATAAAGAAGAATATTGCAACCAGAAAACATCATCACAAGCTTCTCCCCTATCCTGTACATCCCAGACTTTACTAACCAAATTATTCATCTCCAAACAAACATGACAACAGAAGTTAGAGAAGCAGAAACACCATGGGCAGTAAATATTGCAAGTGAAGACTACTTGTTTCATGTGATGATGTTGGTCAGCTTTTCTCTAGTATGTTCAAGTGCTGATAACAAACAATTTTGGAATGGAGTTAACAGAAATCTCATACATCATCTTAAACCTGCTAAAGAAATTAATACATGAACTAAAAAAAAGTAATGAAGGATACACTGTATTATATAATAAAACTGTAGTATTCTCAAGTAAAACTAACTTTCCTCAGAGCAATGAGATAGGTCCACAGAACAACAGGAGACTCAAACAGGAAATTTATTACAGTACAGAATAGTTGTGAATTTGTCTTAAACTGACGAAGTTCTTGAAAAGGAAATTTACTGGAAACAGTGTAATACATAATGAACAATCTTTCTTATTTGCACTTGGTTTGGTTGCTGCAAAGTTGCTTTTGAACTAAACTATTTTTTCTACCATTTTGCACTCAATGATAACTTCTACTAAGCTTACCAAACCTAACAATACTTATTTCTTTTATTAACTTTCTTGGAGTTACTGATACTAACCATGTGACTGGTCATTCCCATTCATACTTAATAGAGGTTGTAACCTTTAGGCACTCACGTGACCTACCATTGGAGGCATTGCTGTTTATATTCATGCACGGTGTGCGGCTTTGTAGCCACACACCCCATCCTCTAATAGGTAGACCAAGTGTTATCTTAACCCTCTCCAGACAGGTCAAAGGCCATGTCATCGAGTTTATTGACTCACATTCAAAATTTTATTAAACATCAATTTTTGTGTGTCATGTGGTATGTTGAATGCAGCACTGATTCAAATTAGGAACTCAAATTACTGTTATTGACAAGCTAGAATATAAAATAAGAACCTCATATTTGTTTTCCATTTGCTGATATATCACTCTAGTGGCTCCTCTGACCTCTTATTTTTGGAAACAGTTCCTTTTACACATATACCTCAATATATGACTTGAATAACCAATTGAAAGCTTAGAATGTCCCCCTAGTGGATTTCTCAGCCATTTTAACATCTTTGGATGCCATCTCTTTCTTTTGAACCAAGATTTCAATGAGGTAGGTTGTGTCTTTAGTCTGTTCGAAATTTCATATTTT